CAGGCTGGCATGAATTGTGAGGCACTGTCCCAGCATTCTGATTGTTTTCCTCGACAGCCATTCTTCTCAAGCAATTCATGTAAGGTCTTCGTGTTTCCCACTGTCTGAGTTGTGAGCGCCACGTGCTGAGTGTCTTGCCTCTGCCTCATTTTGTTGCTTGGGGTCTATTTGAGCCCCCACCCTGCCTGTTTCCCTGAGCATGGCTTAGGATAAGTCAGGTCACTTTCCTATCGTTTTCCTTTTCTTCACGTCTATGGATGTGTGCTGGTTGAGATGATATACAATATGGTCTTTAGATCAGTTTATGGCGTTGTAACGAGCAACAAAAACCCAGAGAGCAAGCTGAAACAACCCCTTGTCGAGGTTTAGAAGCCCCAGAAATCCTCCTGTCTGTTCTCTCAAGATCTGGGGTCACAGGCAAAGGCAGCAAGTGTGAGTCCTAGATCTGGGGGTCTGCATGCTTGGGCAACGAGCACTTTTACCCGCTGAGCCATCTCTCTGGTCCCCATGTTAAACTTGTATGCTGTAGTGGACAAAATAGTGTCTCAAGCTACATTCAAGATGTTGTCAAAAGTGAGTCATTGTCATCTCTAGCAAACTGAGTCCGCTTGGCCTTCTCAGTATTTCTCCTTCTGCCAAGGAAGAGTTAAAAACCACATAATTCAATCAATGAAGAACTTTCATCTATTTGAGATCCTGTCTGATGTGGCTTCCTGCTCTCCCAGTGAGGTCACAATGGGGCATGTATCTAATTATTCTTTTAAGTATGCATTAGTATAGATAGTGTTAGAAATTCCCATCCCCAGCACTGGGAAGCGCTTAGGCCTTTAGCCACTGCTTGGTATATTAATCTTGCAGAACCTAGCTGCTGATTCAACTGCCATGGAATCTGCTGTTGGACTGTATGTTTGCTGGGTTTAAGTTTTAAACAATTGTTCTTGCGGCTAGCAAACACTCCCAACTTTGGTAAATTTCCCTAAGCCAACATATCTAGGTCAGATTTAATTTATTTAGGTCCTGGGGTCAGGGATAAAGTATGTCTTTGGAAAAAATTACAGTACATTGTGTGTCACCCTCCGTCCTGTCCTCTCTTTATAGGAGGAAAGAACATTTCTCAGGGAGAGACACAAGGCTGGCCATGGTGTCAAACAGGAGCACGGAATGGACCTTGCTAACACTCCCAGTCTCCAGAGCCGTGCACGGGGCATTTCTGCTGTTTAGGTGCCCCTTCCAGCTGTAGTACTCTGTGGCAGCCTCCGCAAGTGAACATGCTTGGAAACAGAATTAGGAAATCCACTTGAGAACCATCTGTGGACGATCACATGGAAACAAGCGGGCCCCACACCAAGTAATATTCAAAACAGCCACAGTGCCTTCTCCTTCCTGGTCAAAGACATCACCAAGGATGACACACACTTTACCAACAGGAGCCGTAGGTGTCTGACTATGAACTGTGCTACAGGGCTCCAGTCTCAGGTCACTGTTTTATGGGCAATTAGCCAGGCTTGACAGTGTACATCTTTCATCCCAGGAGCAGGGGATTCATGTGCGCTCCAGCTTAGTCTGGTCTACACAGTGAGTTTCAGGCTACACAGGAAACCCTGCCATAAATAAATAAATAAATAAATAAATAAATAAATAAATAAATAAATAAAATAAGGCATTTGGGGAGGATTTTTAGGACTTGAGGAAGGGACACATGGAGGCCGAGTCACTGGTAAAGTGGGAGGCCTACATTTAAAACTTTCCACCTTGTTGTTTTGGCCAGCTGCTGGAGGCAATGCTATGACTCTCATTAGCAAGTCACTAGGAGCCACTGTGGTGATTCACCTGGTGACCCCAGTACTTAGCAGGCTAAGACAGGAAGGTTTCACATTCTGGCACTGGGCAACAGGGAAATCCTATCTCAAATAAATGATATATTTATATTTGAATATGTATAAACTCTGTCTATTATCTATCTACCATCTATTATCTCTCATCTACCTACCTACCTATCTATCATATATTTTTCTATCATCTAGCATCTGTCTACTATCTATCTACATATCATATATCTATTTATCATGTATGTATCTATCATCTATCTATCTATCATATCTATCTATCTTAGGTCTATCTGTCTATCTGTCTGTCTGTCTATCTGACTAAGAACCTGTTGGGAGATAATTTTTTCTTAATACTGAAAGACTCAGGGTAGTGCCTGGCTGTGGCAGGGATAAGGCCATACCTCTGTTAACACTCAGCTGTGAGAAGGGGTTGCTCTTATTCACTTATCAGTCAAAGGGATGGCCCGTCCTTCCAGACTGATTCATTATTGGTGCTTAATAGAGTGTTTGAAAAAGATTCCCCTGTATTTTATGTATTATGTTTGGCCTACAGGTATGTAAGTCCACCATGTGCATGCCTGGAGGGTAGAAGAGGCCACCAGCTCCAGATCCCCTGCAACTGAAACCACAGATGGTTGTGAGGAGTCGTGAGTGCTGGGAACTGAACCTGAGTCCTCTGCAAGAGCAACAACAGCTCTCTGTAAAAGCTCTTAACTGCTAAGCCTCTCCAGACCCTTAATAGAGCTCTTTTTTTTTTTGTTTTTTGTTTTGTTTTGTTTTGTTTTGTTTTGTTTTTTTTGAGACAGGGTTTCTCTGTCCTGGAACTTGCTCTGTGGTCTAGGTTGGCCTCCAACTCAGAGATCCACCTGCCTCTGTCTTCCAAGTGCTGGGATTAATGTCATGCCTATATTATCAGAACATTCAAAATTATCTATCTATCTATCTATCTATTCACTTTACATCCTGATTGCAGTCCTCTTCCATCTCTCCTCTCAGTCCCATCCTTTCTTTGTCTTCCCCCATATTTCCTTCCCTATTCCTCAGATAAGGGGAGCGCTCTTCCCGCCCCCAGCTCATTAAGTTGTGTCAGGACTGAGCACATCTTCCTCTGTGGCCTGGCAAGGCAGTCCCAACAGGGGGGAGTGATCAGAAAGCAGACAACAGAGTCCATGTCAGAGACAACCCCCATTCCCCTTACTAGGGTACCCACATGAAGCCTGAGCTGCCCATCTGCTACATCTGTACAGGGGGGCTAAGTCCAGTCTGTGCATGGTCCTTGGTTGGTGCTTCAGTCTCTGCAAGCCCCTCTGGGCCCTGGTGAGTTGGCTCTGTTGGTCTTCTTGTGGAGGTTTTGTCACCTTCAGGTCCTTCTATCCTTCCTCCAACTTTTCCACAAGACTCCCAACGTTTGCCCAATGTTTGGCTCTGAGTCTCAGCATCTGTTTTGATTTGCTGCTGTGTAGAGCCTCTCAGAAGACAGCTATGCTAGGCTCCTGTCTTGTTCCCTTCTGAGAGATTTAAGGATTCTCCCTTGGGTCTTCCGTGTTACTTATTTTCTTTGGGTCTGTGAATTGTAGTATGTCTACCCTGTGCTATCTGGCTAAACTCCACTTGCAAATGACTGCATACCGGGTGTGTCTTTCTGAGTCTGGCTCACCTCACTCAGGATGACCTTTTCTAGTTACATCCGTTTACCTGTAAATTTCATGACTTCCTTGTTTTTAGTAGCTGAGTAGTATTCCTTTGTGTAAATGCACCATAATTTCTTTATCCATTCTTTGTTTGAGGGACATCTGGGTTGTTTCCTGATTCTGGCTACTACAAATAAAACTGCTATGAACATAGCTGAGCAAATGCCCTTGTTGTATGGTAGAGCATCTTTTGGATATATGCCCAGGAATGGTATAGCTGGGACTTGAGGTAGAGCTATTTCCCCATTGTCTGTGAAAGCACCAGATTGATTTCCAAAGTGGTTGTACAAGTTTGCACTCCCACCAGCAAAGGAGGAGTGTTCTTCTTCCTCCACATCATCACCAGCATGTGCTGCCACTTGAATTTTTGATATTAGCCATTCTTATTAGAACATTTTTAATGTTTGTTTTGATCATGTTGCTTGGGCAACCCAGTTATAACATGACTAACCAAATTCTCAATAAATCACCTCTGAGAAAGCATCGGGTCTTTTTCTTTTTAACCTGGTAGCTGGACAACCCCCAAATCAGGAGTGTATATGGTGTTTTATAAAAACAGATGTAACTAGGAAGATGGGAGCCTCATATCTAAAATATTTGTATACATATACAGGTCATTGAGTGGTAAGGTTCTAATATCACAAATATTTATTCTTATGATTGCCAATAATAAAGGAAATTGAATATCACAAGAGCAGGGTATGCAAAGGCATTGGGAAGCCTAATTCATTACAAATGGGAAGTATTATATTTGCTGGATTATCCTAAATTCTGTAGTTTTTTGTTTTGTTTTGTTTTTTTCTGTCCCTGAATGACTGCTTGCTGAAAAAAGTGGCTCAAATCCCCACAGAACAGAGACAACATGTCCCGGACACAGGCTCTCCAAGGTGTGTGTTGGCCTGGAACAATGAATATAGAATGAACAGACACAGGCTGCATGGACCAGTGTGTGGATAACGTTCTTGATAGATTTCTGTTCGAGGCAAAGGAGATAACACCAGCAACTAATGAGCGCTGTAAGGGAGGAGGCAGTTTATTGTAGTGGAGCTGCACTGAAGGTTTTATACAGCCCTCCCCCCCCCCCGCCTTGCAAACAACACTGCTTACCACCACGCTGTTGCACAAGCTGCACCACGGAAGCTCCCATGCTCTGCGTGAATTAATACTGACATAATGCATTCCCACCATACCGCCCACATGCCTGCCATTAGATGATTGGAAGGCCTTCTCGCAGTGCTGCCGACAGCTCACACACCGTGCAGTGTCTCTCAGTCTACTCCCTTCTATGCTCAATAGTGCTCACAAGCCTGCTTGGGAGAACACATTAACACCAGAGGTTCAGACATTTCCACCTCATGCAGCTCATGGAAAATGTGAATACCAGCATGACATTAAGAAAAATAAAGCTGTTTTTTTTTTTTTTTTTACTAAACAAAAGAAACAAGGGCCTGGGGACCAAAAAAATACATACATACATACCTAATTGTATGTATGTATATATATATAAAGTACAGAAATGCATGCATGAAGGGGTATACGTAAATACCCTTTGCATCTAATACCTTGTATGTAATACATTTTATACATTTACTACATATTGCACAAACCCAGTTACACACAGACACCCTCTGGTGTCACTGTGTAAGCCCCCCTCACAGAGGACAGCTCTGCACGACATTCTGAATGAGCTTATTCACGACCTTTTGAAAAACAGACTTAGCAGGCAGTTCTCTGGGCAGTCCCGTCTCCACATACAAGTTAGCCATGGTCCAAGGTCTCCCTCCTAAATGTAGGATTCTTTAGCACATTGGAGTCGGTTGGCCTCAAAGACCATGTGGCTGTGCTGTTGTCTGAGACAGTCCAGCTTGGCCTTCTGCACGGACTCCGACATGGTCCTCAATCGGTGCAGCTCAGATCTCCCCTGAGTTTCCACAGAGACACTGACAGTCTGACTCTGTTTCCAGTGTTCAGTCATGGGAGACAACCTGTGTCCACCAGGTGTCCCTTCACTGTGGTCGCCTCCGTGGTGAGAAGGCAGAGGGGTCAACGCTGTGCTCCATTTGAGCATCCTCTCTCTCATACTTCCAACCGTCTGGCCAGCGTAGGCTGTGAGTCCGGATGTCTGGCAATGAATGGCCTCTTCATAAGAAGGAGGGCTTCCTGGCTTTCTCACATCAACTAGCTGGAACATGTTATCAACTGAGACAGCCCAGGTTCTGGACAAACTGAAGCCCAGAGTTGTTTGGCTTTGGATTGCTGATTCATTTTCCTGGATGATTCTTCCAGCAAGCTGGCTTTCTTTCCTCAAATCTTTGATTTGGTCTCTAGAAAAGTTTTTGGATTTCTCAGACCCAATGCTGGAGGTCCGGGCCAGGACTTTTTTGTGAGAGGCAAAGGAAAATGACATTGAGTGCTTTCGAACTTCTCTTTGGGGTTTGAGCTTGTCCATCTTTGTGGTGAAACTCTGGTGTCTGGTGAAGAAGTTTCTTTTGGGACATGAAGGAGAAGGCGCAGGTGAGCTGTCCAAAGATTCAACCGTGGAGACACTAGAGAAAGCTTTGTGTACCAGTCCCTGTGATGATGCTAAACCTTGGACCAAGTTCTTTACCTTCAAATCCACTGGTCTTTTGGGCTTGCCTTCAACTGCTGGGAAGACTTCCTCTGTAAATGGGTCTTCAGCCTCATCACCTTCAAAACAGGCCTCCTGGGGCATGGTGAAGCCATCCTCACTCTTCGTTAGCTTCTGCTTTGTCATTCGTTCCATGAGGCACTCTTGTGAGGGTGACATGTTGGGTTCAGAGAACCGCCTGTCTTGCTGGCCAATGGAGCTCTTCAACCTGGCTACCATGCTAAAATTTGGCTCCAAGCTTGACTCACTGGTGTCCTGTGGGCTCCGGGTTTCAAGGACAGCCACTGTGGCAGTGGGCCCCTCCAGCTGCCTACTGGGAGAGGCGATGGCATTCGTGGGCTCCACATCTGGGTCATTGCTGTCATAAGCTGAGTCATTCTGCAGAGTTGACACATCTGGGAAAAAAAAGTTAAGGAAGAGTTGAACATTTTGTCTAGGCTCTTTTAGCAACAGAATTTATTATAGGCCACCCTGTTTCTACCTGTGGTAATGGAAGACGTATGTGGGGCTTGATCTGATAATAAATTGAATACATTGAAACTTTGTTCTTGTCTAAAATGATGTTCAAATGGTAAGAAAACGGGAAAATGAAATGGTGGAAGGACAGGAAAGAGATGCGAGGAAAGGAAGATGACAATGACAATATAGTTTATTGGTTTGAATGCATAAGATTGATCCTTTGGGTAGCTCTTTTATTGGATCAATTTCCATTTCACTGGATTTACATTCCATTGTAAAGCGGAATTTCCTTACTCCAACCCAAAGCTAAAGTTTAGTTAGTAGAATCAAGAGTTATTCATGACTTAGACTAGAAGGAAGAAAATCCCAGATCGATACAGAAAGAGGGCAGTGTGAGAGGGTGTTTTGGAGAAACCTGACAGCAAGGCCTCCGTGGTTAATGACTTCCTCATAGAATTTTGCTCTGTGAAGGCGAACCCTGTTTCTAATACCAGGGATGCCTTGTATCGCTGCCCGGAGCACCAACGACCAACTAGCTTGAACTTCTCTGAGCCACAACCAAGTGACAGAATGTTCCATACCTGAACCGTCAGTGTGTTCCAGAGAGTCATCGGAAGTGATGCGGGGATGTGTCGGAATGTTCTCCCCAAATATTTCCAAGCAGTTGTCAATGAGGAATTCCACCAATGTCTTAACCTGTATGGGGGGAAAACAAGCAGTTTGTCAGCTTAAGTACATTCATAAAAAAATAAGGTAGCAAAGAATGAGGACATATCAGGGTCAACTATTAGGGAAGTGGCAGAAATAGAACTAGATACTTTTATGTGTCGGAAAAAGCACATTGGAATTGGTGGTAGTGATACGCTTTGCTATTATATGGGTTTTTTTGAGGCATGCATTTTCTTTACAGAATTAAAAAAGCAATTTTTACTTTGAAGTAACTGAAGATTTCATTTAAGGAAGTGGTTGTCCAGGCTTCTAGCTGAACAGGCAGAATGTGATATGCAGAAGAAAAAGAACAAAGTGTTTTTTTTCCAGCCGGGGAGGCGGGTGGTGCTTTGAGTGTCTGCTGCTGAGATGTGTCTCCCAGGACAACAGAGGACACGTACAATTTGTGCTTCAGCAAATGCATGTATCTGAGAGAGAGCAACCACAAACACATCCTGCAGGTCAGACCTCCACTGAGGCCCCTGAGTTAGTCTGAGAAACTCAAACAGGAAGCATTTCAGTGGCTTTTACAGAGGGTGGACTCAGGTCCGGGGAGTTTCTCCCACAGAGGCAGGGCATACCTTATTGTTCAGGTCCTTCTGGGCCTGGAAAGACAGGCCCTGATCATTCTTCAGAGTGAGCATGTTGGGCCCGATGCAGATGGCGAGATTGCTAGAATCCATCTTGTTGACCTCGGCGTTCCTGCTGATGAGGTGCAGCACACAGAGCAAGTGTCTGAGCAGCCGGAGGTTGGGCCGGGGGAGGCGGTCGGCAACCCTGGGAAAAAGTTAAGGGATGATGGTTTTCGTGTAGCTTTAGTATGGCCTCTCGAAAGGTTCTACCCAAACCGGACTTCCTTTAAAACGAGGAAGGTGCATTTTCACAACAGACATTGTGAAATGCAGCTCCAGACGCTTCCTACGGCAGCTGACTTGGAACAGGGTCGGCCAACCATAAGTTGGCGGCAACTGGGATTCCAATAGCACTCGTCTTTATTACACACACGAATGCCGATTGTGAAACAGAGACTGTGTAACGGTCGCAGCCTGCCTCACGTTTTGAAAACAATTTTGTTACATCATCAAATAACTGGGTCAGAATTCTTTGTTTCTCACACTGTTTTGAACTATAATTTCCAGACGAAGATCTCCCATTTTTATATCATCCTGAAAAACCTTTAGAATCAGTCTTTATAAAAGCATGTTTGTAACTAGAGGCAAGGCAGTACTTGAATGCAAGCATTATTCCAGTAATAGTAATTAGATTCTTTAAATTTTGCTATTTCAAAAAAAAAATGAGGTGAACCTAACGCATGGGTCCTTTTCATTTCCTAGTGTTGGTTTCATAAAAGAGTTTTATGTGCAAGTACAAACACTGTGATAATCTTAGTATTCTGGAGGTAAGGGGAGGGACAGAAACTCTTTTTTTTTTTTTTTTTTTGTAAATATTTCATGGAAAATACTTGGTCATGGGGACAGCTATTGCATACTGATGGGCTTTCTTAGGCCGTGGCATAAGTGCTGGCATGTTAACGAAAGGCCTTTGGGATTCTGCAGTTAAGGCACAGGCCACGCTTCCATTTTGAAAATGTAGTTTCTGTTAACTACTAGAATTCTTTCTTTCTTCCTTCCTTTCTTTCTTTCTTTCTCTTTTTACTTCCTTTCTTTTCCTCCTTTCTTTTTCTTTTTTCTTTCTGTTAACCACAGGAAGATAGTTTGCCGTGGAGCTTTATGAACAAAGCATTCCTTTCCAAGCTGCTTTGCTGTGCAACCTGAGAGAACAGTGGCTGTCACGACACTAGTTACCGAGTTAAGGCTAACTCCAACCTTGTTGGCTAGCCTGTGGTAAAGCATTCACGGGTCTGAGTTCGTCTTGTGTCTTTTAAAACCACTCCTGTGATTAGCTTCTCTCCTATCGTGGGATCTATGAGTTTACTTTCTGCTTTTCAAGAAGTGCTTTCCCACGTTTGGGTAGAACTGCACCCTTTAGAACCTAGGGCGCCTTCTAGGTTCCATGATGGGAGCAGCTGAGTAATTCCATTCAGATTCCCTGGACCTCACAGTTTCTGTGAGACAGAAATCTCGAGGCACTTGCACAGTTTTATGAGGGAGCAAAGATGGAGGCCCGGCCCCTTGCAGTGACAGAGGACTTACTGCTTTAAGGCCTCAATTCTGTCCTCCTCGCTCGGCTTCTCCAGGGCACCCATCCACTCCTCAAAGAGGTCACAGGAAAGCAGCTTGAGGGGGATTCCTCGGAGGAAGTCCTGGAGGGAGAAAAGGGGTGCAGTGAAGTCTTTTACCTCCCGTGTTTCCCCTCTGCAGGCACCCCTGCTCACCCAGTCACTTCCCTGCATTTGCTTCCCTCAGGGAGCCTCTGCCAAACCTACACTGTATTTAAGAACCTCCCCGTAACCAGTGTAATAAGATGCACTAGGTAGGTGAACCCTGGGAGACCAGATTTATAAATGGACTTTGCCATGGGGCAATCAAATAATGTTTTGAGAGAATTTCATGCCTGTCTGTTGAAACCTGGGATCATTGAAACAGAGGAGCTCACATGACTAATGAAAAGATTTAACTGAGAAAAACAAACATGCAAATAGAACTCCCAGATCCGCTGGCTTTGCCGGCAGGGAGTAGTGCCCGGTGTTGGTTTCCTGATGAGCGTGTCAGCGCGCCCCCAACAGGCCGCCTGGTGCAAGTGCCGCAGGCTCACCTTGAAGACCACAGCCAGGAGGTGCACAGGCAGCTGGTTCAGATCCACAGAGGCCCCGCAGTTAAGCTCTTCTTTCAGCTCCTTGCGGGCTTTCTCGCTGGCAGCTTTCCTGAATATTCCTTCAGTTGAAGGGCCCTTAAGGCAGAGGATGGTGAGGATTTCCTGCGGGAGCAGACGCAACATCAGGAAACAGTCTCTTGGAGACAGACACGTTGCTGCTGTTAAGGCACGGAAACCCCTCTGTAGGCTCCTGTTGCAGGAGGAGAGACTGAAGCCAGTGCTACCGATGATGTCCCTTTACTCATTATTTATTCAAAGGAGGTAAATTATGAAAGCGTTAATTTTGCACATTTGAAAATTATTCGGGGCCCTCTCCTCTCAAACGCTTTCAAAGAAACACTAGTTTCTCCATAGACACCCCTGCTTCCTCTCTGTTGAGTATTTAGAGGTTACAAATGTCTTCCTTCTGCAGACCACACGTGAGAAGACTGAGGGAGGCCCATCAGGCAAAGCGTATTGATGGATACAACCGGCACACAGCCTGCCCGCCGCACTGGACCGGGGTGGGCGGCTTTGAAAGACAAGGTCCTTCACGTTCAGGCTTCCCAAAGACTTCGCAAGTCCCACCCAAAAGGGAAGCAGGCTTATGAGCCAACACACACCTACCTGGATGGGCCTGGGAAGTGTGTCATTTTCCCCACAGATGATTGACAAGGGTTGATCAAACAGTGACACTTTCAGCTCTGGTTCCAATGATCCAGAGAAGTCGGAGGAAGGAGAAAGCTTTCTTATGAGAGAGGGCCAGGACAGCACTTTCTTCCTCTTCTTAACTTCTATAGCCAAGGAAACAAGGAGATAAAGAGGAAAAAAAAAAAAGTCAATGTTAGTAATAAGCCATACTGGCCAGATCATCCTATCTGTATAGTGTGCCACGCTGAAAAAAAAAAACAAAAACAAAAAAAAAAACACCCCCCCCCAAAAAAAAAACATTGAAAAGTTGAGAAGGCCAAGGGCATGACCCTTGATTTAGAAAATCAACCCCCAAACAACCACACCGTTTCCAGGGTAACCAGTCCCTAAACATCAACACCAGGGTTCTTCAAAGGCCCCACCTTTCCTGTTTTTACCCTCACAACTATTAGCCACAAAAGAACTAGCAAAATTCAACTGTGTGGGTCAAAACCACCCGTTTTTAATGTCTTCCTAATGACTACAGATAATACATTCTGATTAATGGACATTATTTTAGTTTATTTCTTCGAATGTCAAAGTTACAGAGAGAGGAAGTGTTTTGCTCAAGGTCCTTTTGAAGGTTCTGGGTAGGGCTGGCTGTTCACCCCCATCCTAGAGCTTGGCCGCCACTAGATGGGGCTACATCACCCACTTAATCCCGCAGTCACCCAGTGGCAGCTTTCTTTCAGAAGCTAATACAGGATTCTCCAGGAAGGCAGCCACCCAAGCTTGGCACTTCGCCAACTATCCCACCCTTCTGACAACCAGGAAACTTGTGTGTGATGGGGATTGGATCCAGAAGTTCCCTTCTATCTTCTCTCCCCGCCCTTCTAATTTTAAAGGCTATGTTTCCTAAAACTGGCAAACGTTTTTACATATTTTGTACTGGCAAGCGGAAGGAAGACAAGGATGCTGAGGTCCATCCGGACACTTTGGGAGGGGTGGTCAGGTCTGATGCATGTCGTAATGAAATACGTTACGAAAGACAATAAGGGGGGTGGATGTTTGATTCTTTGGGGTTGGAGACCAGCAACAACTGCCTCCTGGGCTCTTAGATGCAATCTCCACTAGAGAAGGAAGTGAGCGGCGAGTGGCGGGCCGAACGTTTCTCCAGTGTGTGCATGCTTCGGTCCTCAAGGTTTATGAGGCCCGAGACTAGCAACCTGGTTGGAAACCCCCTGTGGAGCTGGGCACTGGCTAAAGACAGAACCTTCCCTCCTGCAGCACTTGCTGTTCTAGTCAAGGGTTAATGTTCTGCAGTCTCTCGGAACACTCAGAAAACAAATTCCTAGTAAAGTAAAAGCCCCGTGGCTTTTGCAAACCGAGAGCGCGAATTAGGCGCACAGGAGAGATCAGTATGTTTTTAAAACTCACCAATTAGCTGGCAAATGCTGTCTTCACTCTCACATGATGTCAGCAGGGGAAGCGCCTTGATATCACCCTGAAAACATGTATTTCAGTTAAAACAGTGTCCGAAGACACCCAGTCTTTCTCCACAGAATGCACATACAGCCTTTTAGTCATCTTAAAGATTAAGTCATCTGCACTGTTCTGTCTTTTATCTTCTCAGGTCATTGTAGAATACTTCAATAGATAGGCATAGGCTTAATATATAATCTGACATTCATTTTATACTGATAATTAAACAACCCAAACAATCAACAAAAAAGAAAGTTTTCTATCTTCTCACAATGAAAATACAAAATTTAAAACCTTGCTTTCTTACCTCTGACTGACATTCAATTAATGTCTCCATGTTATTGGCATTAAGTGTTTTTGACTAAAAGAAAGGAAAAAGTAACATTAGTGAAGGCCCTTAGCTCTTATCTGTGGGAAAGATGAATAAAAAGTGCAAAGGGCTCACGTACAACATCAAGGCTGCTTATCAGCTTCATTGGAGTCGGGGCTGACAGTCCAGTGGGGAATTTCACTATGGCGAGGCTTTGATTCTGTCTACAGTAAATCATACAGGAAAAAAGTTACAAAATAGAATAACCAAACAAATTTCAGAGTCAGTTTGCCAAAAACAAACAAAACCCAGATCTTAAAGCTATTGGATAGAAAAGTTTTCATTTAACACCAGTCTTCCAGGGGAGGAGGGAGGGGCTTATGGGGGGGATACAAAATGAATAAAGTGTAATAAATAATAATAATAATAATAATAATAATAATAAAGAGGGAAAAAAAGTCTTCCACTAAAGAGTAGCATGAGAATCTCATCCATTTTTTTCATTTGCAACTTATTTTATGTAAATGAAATAAAGATTCCTGTTTCCATGAAATAAGATAATATCAGGCTTACTGTCACCAGCTGTTAAGAACAGCACACGAGAAACCTCCTGCTTACTTCTCTAAGTCAGATGTCTTTATTTATTTATATTTGTTGCTCGTTATTATGTTCCTATCAGGAGGATCTGAATACAAATGACAGCAACTAGCACTTTTTTTCCTTTTGAATACTTGTGCATCCTATATTAAAAAATGCTCTGCACTCTCATGTAACCCAAGAAAGAAGGAAATTTATTTCTAGGATACTATTTACAGTAAACAGAAACAAACAAAATAACGCTTATAGAATTCCTGAATCCCCAAACGGCAGCTGCCACATTCTGCATTTAGAGTCATTCTAAGACAGACGTATATTTCTTGGCAGAGCTGTTTTCAGTGACATCGAGGTTTCAGGGACCCACGACCCACAAGGCAGTTTATGTTCTGTTAATCTATAGTACTTACCACAGGAGAGTTTTCAGCCTGAGCTCCTTTACCTCCAGCGAACTGTGAAAAACCGGAGACACAGCATGACACTCTGACCCTAGGAATCCACCCACAGAGACAAGACGCCGGAGCCCTGAGCCTCACGCGCTACTCGATATATGTGGCGGGGGCGGGCAGGTGGAAACTCAGAATATTACTGGGGACGGAAGGAACATCATGGGCTGTCACACAGACAGAGCCAGCCAGACACTGCACAGCTCTCACTTCCTCATTCCTTTTAGGGCAGCGATGGTTCTTTCCGAGCGCCTCCCCACTCCTCATTCCCACCCCCTTTCAAAGTAAAAATTTCTACAAACTACTAGGGGTGGAAAACATGACATATTGAACACAGGAGAAGGCTCTGATTAATGTCAAAGGTGGTATGTGCAAAGGATAAATTTTGTTTTCCTGTGTGTAAACATCATTTTCTTTTCTAAAGTGGTTATGTCAGCCCCCCCCTCTGCTTTGGGTATCCTGTTTGGGTGCTGTCCCTCTTTCACCCACCATCTTCTCTGTCCACCACGACTAGATATTAATTGGCACATCTAGGTACAGGATATTGCCATAAAACCAGAACAGAGACCAAGAAATGACTTCCCTCTTTGAAAAACTGATTACCCTCAAAAGCTCCATCGGTTTCTTTGGAACCAGGGAACTGCCCACAGAGAATCACATTTATTTCTCATGTAGAGAACCACAGCTCTACGTTTGTTGTGAAATACAGTGAGAGGGCAGTCAGGCTGGCACAGATGCGTTCATTTTAGCATCAACAGTTTTGCAGAGTGGAGTAAAAGAGTCACATGTTTGTCAATATCTTGGCATCTTTGGAAGTTTAAAAGAAATGATTGAAAGGCAAACACTAGGTTATGTTGCATGCAAAAGCACCCTCCAATCTGGCTTCTTCTGTTACCTCCTCTTCTTTCTTTTCTTTGAAACCAAATCATGTCCCATGTGGATGTGGACTGACCTGGCACCTCAGGACTATGGCTTTGAATGTCCGACCGATAATTTGATGTTAGGCTCTGTGGCACCTTGCTGACTTGTCTAAGAGGCTTGTTATGGTTTTGGTGCTTGATTGTTAAAACCTGCCCCTCAGAACACGCTTCACTTTTGAGTCACATCCCCATCCACGATTGCTTTCAGGGTTCTCTGGCATCAAGGGCACTGCTGCCCTGGAGAAAGCCCTTTTTTTCTCACCAGGCTGAAGATTCTTGGTGCTCTATGAATGAAACCTACTTTTCCTGGGGTCCTTCTGAACCCCAGGGAATCTGCAGTATCCCCCCACCAAAGAGACCCAGCTCGTCTTCCTGGAATGGAAGGCTTTGGCACCATGGTGTCACATTGTTCCTGGGGACACAAGCTCTCATTCTTGGCATTACCACAAACTCTGCACATGGTTCTGGTTCTGAGGTTAAAATGTGAGCTTGCTAAGTCATACTTAACATCTTTATATGTGCCGAGCACTCGGCTGGGTATTTTCAAGAGCCTCGTTGCACAGTTATGAGCACATTGTGCTGAAGTGTGTCTTCCAGTGTCACAGGTCGGACAACTAGAGCTCCTGTAGTGACAGCTGCTCAAGTCACTCAGGGGTGCCTTCTCATCCTGAGCCCCAAATATGCCCGAGCTTCCTCTCTGGGTAACTCTTAAAGTGCTTCACTTGTGAGCAAAGGTAAATCATTTATTCTTTGGTTTGTCAACTCAGGGGTCCTCATGAGGAACACTTAGCAGAGAGTCAGATTTAGGACACAATACTGAACCTTCAGAACTCCTGTCTGTCACTTTCATTAACAATAAATAACATACAGTTCACACAATCAATGGTGCGGTGACCCGCAGAAACAGCTACACAGACGGAGTTGCGTGTGCATGTATGTGTTGTGTATGTGGTATGAATGTGTGTGGTATGTGATGCCATGATATGGCTCAGGCCTGCTTACAGGCCACAGTTAGGTTTCCTTCCTGTTTTATCTTGTTTTGAGACAGGGTTTCTTTACTGAACTTAGGGTGTCCACCATTTTGTCTAGATTGGCTAGCCAATCTAGACATTTAGTTGTCTATCTTCTGCCTGTCCTTAGGGTTATAGGAGCATGCAGGCATGCTGGGTTTTCCATGGGTGTTGGCGATCCAAACTCAGCTCTTCATGCTTACCCACTGAGCCATTTTTCAGAACCCTACATTGGTAAATTTGTGCCTGTTATCTATAACTCCCAACAATGGACCAACAATGTCCAACTTTATTAACTAAGAGAGATGTTGAGTTACTAGCTCCAAAATACAGCAGTAACTATGGCAATAGAAAAGAGTAAGTTGGAGCCTCTCCTTCCTTCCTTCCTTCCTTCCTTCCTTCCTTCCTTCCTTCCTTCCTTCCTTCCTTTCTTTCTTTCTTTCTTTCTTTCTTTCTTTCTTTCTTTCTTTCTCTCTTTTTTTGGAGGGGGAACCTTACATTTCTAAAGCAGAAAGATGTTGGTTTTTCTAGGACCCGGCTGTTGATAATAGAACCCAAAGGTAAGACATTCATCAACATTGGTGCCTCTAGAAAGTCTAACAGTCACCACCCAATTAACAGATACAGTTGTGTGACTGCTCAAGAGCCACCATTGCCAGATGGTCTGGCTGTGGCACTAAGAAAACATTCTGTCATTGATGTGGCTTCTTCCAAATGCCATGCAGCCGGAGCAGAGTTGGAAATAGAGCCGTCTGTGGAAGAAAAGCCTGATTCTGAAAAGGTTTGCAGTAACAACACGGTGAACACAGTGTGAAATTTGGAAGTATTTTTGTCTTTAATTTTTTTAAGTTAAAAAAAAAGATTTATTTTTATTTTATGTGTATGGGTGTTCTGCCTGCATGTATGTATGTGCACCATGTATGTGTGTGCCTGGTACCTGTGGGGAGTGTGTCAGGGTCCCTGGAACTGGAGTTAGAGATTATTGTAAGCCTCCATGTAGATGCTGGGAACTGAATCCTGGGCCTCTGCAACAGGAGCCGGGGCTCTTAACCTCTGAGCCATCTCCCCAGGCCCTGTTACATTCTCAAAGATGAACTGATCTACTTTTGCTTGTTTGTTTGTTTACATCTTTTTTCTCTAGCTCATTTCTCTGGAGAACAAGCCTATATCCTCTTGCATGACAAAAATCTCATCCTCAGTTGATGGGAAGGAACCCAGATGTTTTTTGCAGGGTGAGGTTGAAGAACACCTCAGTGAGAATCACACTTGTAATCATTTGTAAAGATTCCAGGACTCTGGTTCCTGGTTCTACCCACCTCTCCTCCCTAGACACAGCTCTGCTCTCACTGTGGCCAAGTTGGAAGGCCAGGAGGCTCTGCTGTAGGGTTCATGCCTCACACACTGTGGTGTGTGTGTGAGTTGTGAGGAAGTATTTTCGTTCCTTTTCCAACTTCCAGTCTCAGTGACCACTTCTGCCCTGCCTGTGGTGCAGAAGAGTTTGTGAATCATTTACCCTGAACTGTTTGCCCTGCCTAGCTGGGAAGCCCCAGCTCCACACTTCATCTCCTTGTTCTGAGCAGGAGTCCTTTCCTCTTCCTAAGAACACCTAGGGAAGCAGTTCTCAAGCTGTGGGTCTCAACACCCCGCCCCCGGGGTGTCTAATGACCTTTGCACGGGGTCGCATATCCGATACCCTGCATACAAACTAATTACCGTATGATTCATTTATAGTTACAGTAGCAAAATCGCAGTTATGAAGGAACAATGAAGATAGTTTTATTATGGCAGGGGGTCGCCACAACATGAGGAATTAAAAGGTTGCAACATTAGGAAGGTTGAGGAGCTTACCTAGGGGCTCGCTCCCGGTATTTCCTCCCATCAACAGCTCTCTGCACGGACTCCTGCTTCCCCAAAGAGCTAATAGTTTCCTTTAAGGCTTCAGCACCACCCCAATGCTGGGCTACCTATATATAGGCTGACTGATAAGTTCATCTTCTAGACAGTTCATGTTATGGATTATTTGAAAGGGGAAGGCAGCCTTTCCTACATGTTCTCCTGTCACGTGTTTTCAGCCTATCGTCATTCACAAAAATCACCTTCCAGTTCTCTGCATCTGATAAACTGATGTGAGGTTCACCCCGACATCTGCCTGGTGGAGATCCTAGCTGAAGTCCCGTCTCCTCCACAAAGAGACTCTTCCAGGTTCTTTCCCCTGGGGCAGAGTTTTAGAAAGCAGGAAACAGTGGCCACCTTATCCATATACGTGTCCAGAACAGTGTTTGGCATCCAGTAGTTACACTGCACTCCATTGTTTTCCTACAAAGACTGTTTGAAGAAACGAGGACATTGCAATCTCAGTGTGAGTTTCCCAAGATTAAAAGTTGCAAGGCTGGAGAGATGGCCAGGTTGTGAAAGTCACGGGAAGTTTAGACTCCCTACTGTCCCACGGATGTCCTCATTAGATGACACAGAAGAGGCCCTGGGGAGACTTAGAACCAAGGTCTGAGGTTATCCTTACAGGTCCTGTAGCCAGACCAGGTCTTGATTCTCACGCTTAAGTGAGAACTCGGGATTCTGTAGGCTATACAATATCCTGGCCGCCCAAGTTTCTTTCTATGGTGAATTCTTGTCTGTTTATCCCCTAAGAACCTTCTAGGACAGTTGACAGGCAGGCAGCTGCATGTACACTACATGAAAAAGGCTCAGAGGAGGAGTTTGCAAATAGGGGCCCAAATCTGGGCCAGAATAAAGAAAGTTCACAGTCCTCCTCTCTTTCTCCTTGGTAGGAAAAAGGCTGTCCTCCACCCAACTTTTAACTCTCTTGTTGAACAAGGATGACCCAAACTTCTCTGAGGATTTCTGGGACCCCAGAGTCCCCCAAAGAGTGCACAGCATCACTGCTTCTTGCAGAACCATCCTTTATACTCACAAACGCCTGTGTTTCTGCAGCGCCAGTGCTGAGGGCCTATGTTTTCACCCCAGATATTTTGATAATCTATCTTTGTGTCAGAATATAAAATGGCCTCAGTATAAAATAATATTTGAAGAACTCTGTGTATTCAGAAAGCTGGCTTGAAATCCAAGGAAGGTTAGGACAAAATGATCCGTTAA